TTTTTTTTTTTCATTCTGTGTACCATTGCTATTTTTTTAATATTTTCGAGTCTTCAAAGAGAGAAAAAATCATTAAAAAGCACGTTAAAACACAAAGAACACCCGCCATTCAATTGCACTATCAAAAATTAGTCCAAAAAACTAACAAAAAAAAAAAAAAGAAAAAGATAATAAGCTCCTAAAAAATAGAAAAAAAAAAGTTATGGTGCAGACAGAAGTGATTTGCCAAATAGATTCAAAGTTCAATGTTCTGTTTGCTGTCGTTAACTGGCTGTTTCACCAGTCAACTATGATGATTTTAAGAATACCAAATAATTCCATAAAAAAGATCAAACATCACATAAGAGATGCAAAACAAAAAGCAAAAAGAAAAAAAAATTCAATAAATAAGTGCATAAATTGTTTTCTACTGATTTGTTAACAACAATATCAATTTGAAGCATTTAAGCGGTAGCCTCCACTACCTCCAGTAACGGTTCAAGAACAGGATGAAACTTCTTCTGACCCGAATAATGACGAACCCGGTATTCTTTTTTCGATTCTGCATCAACTGTTGAATTCTGCAAAACACAAACAACGATTATTCACAGCGCTGCCATATCATCGACGACCATCAATTACAATAAATGAATAATATTAAAAACAAAAAAAAAATAAATTTAAATACATAAATAAAGAAAAAGAGAAAAAAAAGCTACAGGGCTAATGTAAACAACTGAACAGAACTTATGTGGTACCTCAGTTCTTATTGATGCAAGTTTACAGTAAACATCTGGCAACAATCCGCCTTCTTGAGCATCATCTTTCAGCAATGTTATTGAAGCTGGTGTACCTTTGATATCCTATAAAATTACCGAATTAAGCTTACATTGATAAATAGTAATGCGATAATACAAGTTTGCCATGAAAATGATAACACATTGGTTCATAAACCGGCTAAATAATAACAGTTCTTCAGCTTTTCTTTTCCATACCGCTAACACCTCTGTTTTTTTCCCTTTCTTCATCTTTGTGACAAATACAAATACAATTGAACTATCAACGAAAAAGGTGAAGAACATAAAGACAAGAAAAAAGAATGCTACCAAATGAATAAACACCTCTTCAAACTTTATTAGCTGCTTCCAAAATCCTAGATTTGGTCGTACCCGTGGTCGTTTAATGTTCATCAAATTGTAAGATTCACGTAATGAACGGCACACATATTTGGTAAGATACGCAAGGCAAATTGATGCTGATCTTGATACACCAGCTAAACAATGCACCAAGACACGGCCACCCTGAGATATAATTTGCTGGATCTAAAAATCAAAGAACACATTATCGCCTAAGTCTAGCTAATCATCCATACATACATATATTACGTTTATATTCATAAATTGTCGAAAAATAAGTTATATGATGGATTCATAACTAGCAAGATCTGATACCTGATCGCTTTGCAGATCAAAATGGTGATATATACAGGCATCAAGTGTATCATCAAGCCAGAGCTTAACCCGTGGAGTTCTGCCATACATCCGAAAGTTTGGAACCTACAAAACTGATGTCAGTAAAATGTTCCCATATTTGAATTATCTTCCTAATCCATTACAACACTCTTTCAGTCACTTTCAGTCAACAAGATATCAATCGAAAATTGCGAAACAAACGATGTCAATGACAAGAGAAAAAAAAAAAAGCTGAATGAAAAAGCAGTTACCTCCGAAGTGGCATTGATTATGTATGAAAAGTTGTACTGTTTTAACATGTCTTCATTTATAGCACTAACACCACAGATGAAGAGACCCGGAACGAGCTCAGTAAGTCTTCCGTATTCGGCATTAACTTTGAACGACACTGAAGGCATCCTTCTACTCGTGCTCGGTACTGCCTCTACACAAATAACCATCAACTGTAACAATGGTTATAGTTATTTCAAAGTCTTCAATTTTTTTTTTCTTTTGAAAAACGTAAATAACCCCTCTTTCGACATACAAAGCAAAAAATGTGAAAAGATTGCCAAACAACAGTATCGGTAGCAAAAAAAGTAAAAAAACCAAAAGAAGACATTATCAGCAATTGTACGGAGAAATAGAAGAAAAAAAGAAAAAATTTCAAATTATATTACCTAAAATTTATTGAATATAAAGAACTTTTTCCTGCTCGAGAAGACATCATAAAACAAAGAAGTAAAAAAATTGAAGATCCAAAATAAATTTTACGGAGAAAATAAGGTACTATGTCGGATAAGAAGGATGAGGATAAATTGTGGGCGGGGTTGCAAGACGAATTGGAAAGCAAATGGTCAGAAAAATATTGAAATGAAAAGGCTTCCCTCTTTTCTTCCTCCCTACCTTTATCTTCTATCTTCTCCATTTTCTCCCAAATTTCTTCTCCCAACATCCTATCTTTTTTCAGACGGATAAAAGAGGGTAAAAACCGATGGTTCTTCTAACTTTCAATTCTGTTATATCAATATTCTTTTGATTTGAGCCATTTTTTTTGTGTGTGTGTGTGAGTGTATAATTCAGAAAAGACAAGAAATAAATATGGAATAAAGCAAACAGTTTGTTTTTGAGTTTTACCCTATTTCTGTCCATCCTTTCTCTAACCTTGCCTGAAACAGATAAAAGAAATTAAAAATACAAGAAACGTAACAAGAAAGAAAAGGTAAAAGGCAGAGGTTAGTTATTTGCCATTCAATAAATAATTAAATCATCAAATGTACTGTAAAAATGAATTTTTCATGAGTATCACATGGAGACAAGTTCAATTTATTTCATCCTGCGTACTTATCATCCATTAATATTTACATAATGATATATTTATACAGTATACGAAAGAAAGAAAGATAAATGTTGATGAAACTGTAACAAGAAGCAAAAAGAAAAACAGGCAAACTGTTCAACCATAATTTAAAGCTAAAACGTAAAAGCTTTTGATTTAAGGAAACGGATAATGATATCGTTTGTTCTCCGCACAATAGAACAGCTCTGTGCTGATAAACTGTGATTAAAGAAACAGAATGAATAAATGAATAAACAAAAAAAAATCATTTTCTACCGTTCTTTCATTTTAATCCCTTCCCCTATTCCAGACGCTCTCTCCTAATCTTATTCAACCAACAATTCACAATGAGAAGCTAAAATATTTTTCCACAGGCAGACATTATCAGAAAAGCTGGTAAATATTTTACAAAATACCGGCCAATATCTCCAAAATACCCAACAGTAGTTCAAAATTTTACCATTAATCTCCTCCTACTCTGTCCAGTTTATTACAAATCAACATTAATAACTTCAAAATCAGAATTCCAGCTAATCGAAAAAAAACTACTTTTTTCTAACATTTCTCCTCCAGTAGCAGCAGTAGTGGTAGCAGAGGAATCAAGAAACAATTAAGTATTCTTATAAAACAACAGCAGGCAAGGAGTAAAATAACTAGTTTTTAAAGAGGTATAGCCAACTGAATGGTTTACAGAAGAACCTGAATTAAGTCGAGATGACCGCCAACATCGACAGGCACAGAATGGAAAAATGAGGAAGGACAAAACCCAAAGAAATTATATTTTTTCATTTATAAAACGTTGTCATTTTCTACTACCCGCCAACCCCCAAATACATTTGTCGTTAATGCACCACCTCTCTATCTCACCCAAACTCAAATATATATTTTCTGTGAACTGCAACAAAATTATACAAAAAAAGCCCTAACAACTAACATATTCACATCCAATGCACACCCATCTAAAGGCACACACAAACACACACACACAATACATTAGTCTTCTACGCCGACAGCCACATACACTGCCGTAAAGCACGCCTATTTTACTGATTAAATATATGTGAAAAGGAGCAGAAAAAAAAAGCGCACACACTCATAAATACACAAAGCGAAAAAAAAAGAAAAACAGAAAAGAAAGAAAGAAAAGGTTCTTAAAGAGAGCACGTGAATCAGCACACTCAATTTTGGAAATCACCAAGGCCGTGCACGTGAACAGCCCATGTATTTCGCCGTCGTTATCTTCGCCTAATCCCTCCCCTGCGCTCCCCCATCTCCTTTCTTCCCTAACGCCACTGTCTTTCAATGTCGCTATTCTTGCTGTTCACCGCACTACTTTTTCCAACCATAGTTTCCTGCTCTTCCTCCTCTCCTTCCTCCTTTCCTCTAGTTGTCCGTTTAGTCAACAATCCTTCTAACCTAGCTCCTCTTATTATTATTTTTTTTTTTGTATACTAGCTCAACAAATTTACCTCTTGATCCATCTCCAGTTTTTTGCTACTTCTGTTCCCTGTAGTTTTTGTTGAGGTAGTTCATCCAGTCATTGCCACTGCTGTTTGTTTTGTTTGACTCGACAATCGGTTCTTGTTTTAAGAAGAAGTTTGCCGTTAACTGTTAAGATTGAAGACGGTAGGGGAAGAAGGAAAGCCGATTTGTGCTTACAGAATGAAGAATCCAGGAAAAGACTCCAACTACTTTGTGCGCATGTATGTTGTAGTATTTGCGGGAAGAGCAAAATTACACAGTGACACAACGGAGAAAAGAAAACAAGCAAAAAAGTGAAATACTAAGAAAAGAAATTGTTTTTCTTTTTTTACATCTCTACTTGTCATTGAAGTATAGAAGAAATGGGAAAAAAGAAGGGTTGAGAAGAAATGAG